CTCCTGTCACATCCTCCTGCTCAGTAATTTAATAGTAAACTAGGGAATATTCATCCATTACATGTAATGGCTATAACTACCATTTTCCACCTTCTTAAAAAAAAAAAAGCAGGAAGAAAAAAAAACATCATTAAGAAGGGGGGAAGCCCCACCCAACCCAAACAAACCCACAAATAGTAACAATGGTGTGTTTATTACAAGACTGGGTTTGAGAGCTAGGGGCAGCCGGGGGGGAATGGAGAGACCTTCAGCTTTTTTTTTTAAAGACCAGATCAGTATTTTCTTGATACGCTTGTCACCATTTTTGTTCTCACGACAACCAATTGAGCCCTTGAACAGGCGGAATCCAGCCCAGATTTTCAGTCCTTTCTTCTTATTCTTTCTTCCCTTTCACTAATTTATCCCGATGTTAGCACATTCTGTCTCGTTACTAGAGGACGCCTGTAGGTTTGCTACATGAGATCATTACTTACTGATCACGGTGACTCTGAAGTCTGCAACTGAAGGCGGAATCCGATTTTCGGAAAAGTTTTTTCTCTACTCTCTCTCTCTCTCTCTCTCTCTCTCTCTCTCTCCTCCCTTCCCTCCCCTCCCCCCCTCTCTCAACACCCTATTATTCTGGATGCTTGTTAAGAGGAAAAACACCCTTCGGTGCTTGGGTTGTGAATGTGAAGCATCTCCCAGCTGCACAGTGACACATTTTTTTAAGGAGAAAAGGACTCCAGAGCTTTTTGCCAAAAGGGGGATGGGGGAGTGGAATAATGTTACTGAGTGATTATTTTGGCTGAGATGTGTTACTTGGTTTTTTCCTTTTTGATCATTTGGTGTTTAAGTAAAATGAGGCACAGACTTGTGTGCCTACTGCAGTGACAAATACCTTTTGATTTTCGGGCCTAATTAAAAAAATGATAAAGGATTAAAAGGTAAGCATTCTCTCTCTGTCTCTCTGTATGTGTGTGCGCGTGTTTGTTTATTTATTATTTATTTTCTTGACAATCAACTGTTAAAAAGGGGATGATCCCTTTAAAAACTGTTTTAACTGCTCTTTGTCAAACACACACTCATTTGTGGTCACTGAGGCCACTGTGGTGCTGTTTTCTTAAAGTGTATGTCTTAATCAGTTTCCCTACAGTCAGTGGCACCATATTTAACAGACTGAGCAGTACTGTGACCCAGGGGTATGGCAGAATTGTTTAGATGGATTTTCCTTTTTTCCTCAAAAGGCAGATATGTAACCTTTCCTCTCACACTGTCTTTTTACTGAGAGAAATACTCTTGGAGAAGTCTGTATATATTTTAGAAAAGAATTGTGTGGTTGTGGGGAAGGGAGGAGGAGGGGGTTGTGTGTGTGTGTGTGTGTGTGTGTGTGTGTGTGTGTGTGTGTGTGTGTGTGTGTCTGTTGAGTGTTTTTTGTTTGTTTGTTTGTTTTGGTTTTTTTCCTGTTTCTTATGGGAAACAAAACCTAGATTGCCCAGGCAATTTGTGAGAAGTATTAAAATGAGAAAGGAGGAAAACTTAGTGACATCATTTTGAACATGGGTCCCAGAGAACTTTCAGGGCCTGGTTATTTACACTGCAAGAGCCAGGACATGTTTAGGGACGTTTAACACCGTGTTTTTCTTGTCTGAGTGTCCTGGATCTTTTCCTGGGGTTGAAATAGCCCATGAGCTAGGCAAAAATGTTCAACTTAAAAAAAAAAAAAGCCACAAAAATCTTTCTGTGCTTGAAGCAGATCCTTGGAGATATTTTAATGCTTTTAAAGAACTGGCTATTCCCCTGTTGTTGAGAGGGCTTTTCGTTTTACCTTCTGTAAGATGCTTATTGTCAGGGGGTGCTGTTCAAGTCTGGCTGTTTTCCTTAAAACCTGGTATTGGGCTGTGGAGACAATAATGATCCCTTTACTCTCTATACCCTGTACCCTTTACTGACTCCCTAGTATTAATCGTTTTCTATTCTGGTAACACCCAGACAAGAAATATTCGACTTTTTTCCCTCCACAGGAGATGGTGGATCTGGAGTGAAGGGTGTGAGATCTCTGGACACATTCTCGAGGCAGAAAAAAGCAGAGGAAGACTGGAAGATTTTTTTTTTTTCTTTAAGAGAAAGCCCAGCGGAGCTAAACGAATGTCCCCTCACCTCCCAAGGAAAGTTCATCGGATTTTTAATCTAGAGAGCTCATCTTCAGGATGTCCGTGAACGTTTCGACTGCAGGAAAAGGTGTGGATCCAAATACAGTTGATACTTATGACAGTGGCGATGATTGGGAAATCGGGGTTGGAAATTTAATCATTGATTTGGACGCCGATTTGGAGAAGGACAGACAGAAATTTGAGATGAATAATCCCACCAACACCACTACCAACAGTAACACTAAGGATTGTGGATGTCCAGCCTCCAATGGGACCGGTGCTACCTCAGCCTTAGCTGATGGCCTAAAATTTGCTTCTGTTCAACCCTCCGCTCCCCAGGGGAATTCACACAAAGAGACCAGCAAATCAAAAGTGAAAAGGGCTAAAACTTCTAAGGATGCTAATAAATCTCTGCCTTCTGCTGCCTTGTATGGAATTCCCGAGATCAGCAGCACTGGCAAGAGGCAGGAAGTCCAAGGGCCC